AAAATCACAAACATTGTATTAATTCATGGACATTTGTATTTACTTCCCAAAGATTTTATTTTCAAATTCCTGAATATTTTCTAATTTTAGAACTTTTTTAAACCCCATATTTTTAAAAGTGGTATTTTTTAAAAATCCCAAGCAAAAAGAAACAAAAAAAACAGGGGCGCCCCTCTTTGCACTTGGGCTGGCCTAAATCGTGCATGGAAGGGACAGGGGGTTGCGCATTTCGTAGCTATTCTGTGCGTTCCCTCAAGAAAAAAAATGCTATTCGGCGCATAGGTCGGGAAATAGGACCTCTCTGCAGGGGTGCCGCCAACTATGAATTAGAGCAACCAGTTTATTTGGAGATTGATATAACCAGAAAATCTCCAAGATGTTGCGGCGGCTAAGTATGCATGCCAGATCCAGAAAATCTCCAGGCGCCAGAAAACCTCACATACCCAGTTTTGATGGGAGGAGATTTTAATCTGGTTAGATCGATTGATGACAAAAATAATGGGATTATCAATAGATAGTTTTCTTACCTCTTTAATGACTGGATAAATAAATGGTCCCTTATGGAGATCAAGATTGCTAACAGGGAATTTACTTGGAGTAACAACCAGAATAACCCTATTTTTGCTACGATAGATAGAATCTTTACTTCTGGCACCTGGGATACTAAATTCCCTCTTTCGGTGGTAACGGCACTTCCACGTGTTGGGAGTGATCATGCGCCTCTGCTTTTAGATATAGGGGCTCGAAGGGTTACCTCCCCAAAAATGTTTCGCTTTGAAAAATGGTGGCTTGACCACCCAGATTTTAAAACGCTAGTGGTTAAGACCTGGAGTTCTCCAGTTCCTGGCAAGACAACCATTGACATCTGGATGAACAAATGTAGACTATTTAGGAAAAAAGCGAGAGTCTGGAGTATTAATATTGAGGCGTGCATCAAGAAAAGAAAAAGAGAGCTTCTGCTTGAATATGATATCCTTGATGTCTTCTTCGAAAGAAATCAAATTAGTGATATAGATAGATCCAGAATGGAGGAGATTAAGAAAGAACTTGCTGGTATTTGGAGTAAAGAAGAGACTGCTTTTTGGCAGCAATCCAGAGACCGTAGAATTGTTGATGGTGACAAGAACAACGCTTATTTCCAAGCGCTGGCTAATTATAGGCATAAGAAAAATCACTTGTCTGAACTTAATGGAGATAATGGCCCTATGTATACTACCAAAGAAATATTGGATGCAGCTACATCCTTTTATAGAAATGTGTTTGGTGCTGAAGAGAAACTTAACATTCATCTTGTCCCTTCCTTCTAGGAGGAAGATGGCCTGGTTACTAGTGAAGAAAATGACCTTCTCCAAAGAAACTTCTCTTAGGAGGAAATTAAGGAAGCAATATTTGGGTCCTATGCACATGGGGCCCCTAGTCCTGAAGGTTTGTCCTTTCTGTTCTACCAAACTTTTTGGGATGTGATCAAAAATGATTTTATGGCGTTAGTCAGGGACTTTGAGGAAGGAAAGCTAGACATGCAGAGATTAAATTTTGCTCTAATTGTCCTTATTCCTAAAGAGCCTGACACCAAGGATATGAAGAAATTTAGACCGATTAGTTTGAGTAATTGTGGTGTGAAGATTTTTTTCTAAAGCTATGACCAACAAGGTCTCTCCTGTGGGGTGTAGATTAATCTCATCCAATCAAACTGCATTTATCAAAGGTAGATACATTTTGGAAAGTGTGGTAATGGCTCATGAAGTAATTCATGAGGTTAAGAAATCTGGTTCTCAAGGCTTAGTCCTTCAGTTATATTATGAAAAAGCTTAAGACCGAGTCAATTGGGATTTTTTGTTTGAAATGCTGCAATCTAGGTTTTTTTGCCCCAAGTGGATATCCTAGATTAAATGTACTTTGATCAATAGCACATTTGCTGTGAGGATCAATGATACTAATGGCAACTATTTTATTGGAGGGAATGGGCTTAAACAAGGGGACCCGCATTCCCCCTTATTGTTTAACCTAGGAGTGGTTATTTTACTAAAATGTTAAAAAATGGCTGCTTCACAAGATCTAATTGCTGGGCTTCTGCCCAATGTAATACCTGGGGGTTGTGAGTCTGTAATATGCAAACGACACTATCCTCTTTTTAGAAAATTCTGTTCATAAAGCCAGAAATTTCGAGTGGTTTTTGTCTTGCTTTGAAACCCTATCGGGGATGAAAATTAACTTTCATAAGAGTGATTTGATGACTATTAATGTAGAAGACACAGTAGCTAATGAGTTTGCTCGGATTTTCTGTTGCAAAAAAGGATCCTTTCCTATTAAGTATTTAGGAGTGTCTTTGCACTATGACAACTTGAAGAGGGAAGACATACATCCCATTATTGGCAGGATTATTAAATTCATTTCTGGGTGGCTTGGGAGATACCTTACTTATAGGGGAAAGATTGTTTTGTTATGTGTCTGTTTAATCAGTATTCCTGCATATCTTATGTTTGTTATCAAATTCCCTAAGTGGGCAATCAATGCCATCAATTCTCAGATGGCTCATTTCTTTTGGGGGAATGAGGGAGGAGAACACAAATATCGTTTAGCTAACTGGGGACTTGTTACTAGGTAAAAAGAGTTTGGGGGCTGGGGATACCCAACATCAAAGAATTTAACATGGCCTTGCTTGCTTCTTGGGGAAAGAGGTTCTTTGATGATACTGACTCAGATTGGAAAAGGTTTATACTTCATAAATATAGAATGACCTCACCCAACCTCCTCTGGGCAAAAGGTGATGGGGGCTCTACCTTCTGGAAGAGCATCACCTGGGCGCTGGCTGCTGCCAAAAACTTTTACAGATGGAGATTGGGCAATGGAGAATTAATAGATTTTTGGCACGATGTCTGGATAGGGGAGTGTTCCCTGAAGGTACAATTTTGGGACCTTTTCTGCATTTCTAACCAAACTAAGTGCACTGTAGCTCAGGTTTGGGACGGCGAAGAGCTTAAACTAACGTTTAGGAGATGTGTTGATCAAGATGTTTTAGATCAATGGAAATTGCTGCTTGATACTGTCCAGCAATATACTTTGACAGCTGAGCCTGATATGCCAATCTGGACTTTGGAGTCAAGTGGTATATACTCCGTTGAATCCTTTTATCAACACATTAACTTTGGGGGGTACCTTCTGCTATCAGAGATGACTTGTGGAAAATTCTCTGCCCTCAAAAATTCATGTGTTCTTGTGGCTGTGTGTTCATAACAAAATTTTAACTAGAGATAATCTTGCTAAAAAAGAAATGTGGAAGATCCTTCCTGTCTCTTCTGTGCTGAACATGAATCTGTTCAACACTTGCTATTTGATTGTGTGGTTGCTCAACATGTTTGGAGCTTTGTGTCTGACTTCTTTAAGATAGATAGAATAGCTAACTTTGAAAATATATTTGCCTTCTAGCATGTGCATAAGAAAAAACCTATTCTGAATATGGTAATTGATACTACCTTGTGGAGCCTGTGGAGACTAAGAAACAAATTTTATTTTCAAGGGCAGAAATGGAAAAACGTGAACTACATTCTTGCAAAATTAAGCTGTTATTTGCACCAGTGGAAGGTTCTCTGCGACGATGCTCAAGCAACCCTACTCCAAAGATGTATCCTTCTGCTGGACAAGCGGCGTGGAGAGCTGATGCGAATCGCCTGGAGATGAGGCGTGGGAGGGGCACATGAACTGGGAGGAGGAAAAGGCTGAAGCTGATGCCGCATGTGAAGATCTTTGCCTAGTTTTGCTTTTTGTTCTTTCCATTGCTCATGGGTCCTGTAATAAGTAAAAAGAGTTTAGTGGAATTATTCAGTGTTCTACGAGAGAACTTCTGCTCTCAGTAGTTGGGGTGGCATAGTCACTTTTATTCTCCAGTCTAGTACTGAATGTTGTTTGTTCTGCTTCAATCTATAAAATTGGGGCAGGTGGGCAACCCCTTTCATTTAAAAATAAAGTATGCATGCCGCCAGTTGAAAACTCATTGATCGATTCCTAGCTGTCGCGTGACCAACAGGTTGTTGCGTCGAGCCAGCAGCTGCATGCATCCGGCAAACCAAGCACCAGATTTAGTGGTGAGTTACTCTTGCTGCTCACGAAGGACTAGTTGGTTTGATGATCGCGGCTTCTATTTGAGCTACGTGAGAAGAACTCTATTGAGATTACTACTAGTTGGATCGGTGAGAAGGATTTGTTACTGGAGGTTACAAAGCGGCGGTTTGAACCAATTGCTTTGGAAATTGCATCTGTTCCTACCAGTATCGTGAAAATCTGGCGGCCGTATCATAGTCCTTACGGATTCAATCTCTCGAGTGTGAGTGCTAATCTGCTATACAGCACTCGGCACTTCAGCACATAGCCCATATCAGATTCAGTGCCGTCGGCCACGTCATCAACGTATCCACGGTCAGTGGCTACCACCTGCTTGTGGTTAACAACTACTCGCGTACAAAAGCCACCACACCTACTGGCACAGGGATCGTCTCACTCGATTTCATGGTAGGAGGCCATCGTTGGTGCATCGAGTACTATCCTAATGGCGACCGCTCAGAGTGCACCGACTCTATATCCCTCTTTTTGCGCCTAGTTGATAGAAGTGTAACAGGGACCTTGAAGGTGAAGTTCGATTTTAGTATTGTCAACCAACATGAGAAGCAAGATTCGTCATATATTCTTGCAGTGAAGCCAGACGACTTATCCAGCCCAAGCACATCTTGGGGTTACAACAATTTCATAAAAAGACAAGATCTTGAGAAATCAAATAATCTTAAGGACGATTGTTTCATCATATGATGTGATATTGCGATTGTCACCACCGCTGATCTCTTTATTATGGTACCACCTTCAGGAATACATGAGCATATCAGCGACCTCCTTCTGTCCAAGTTGGGCACTGATGTGACATTCAAGGTTGGCGGGGAAGACTTTGGTGCGCCCACCGGTGCGTGCTCGCAGCTTGGTCTGCAGTGTTCAAGGCAGAGCTCTTTGGCCCCATGAAGGAGGACAAAATGGCAAGTGTCATACAGATCAAAGATATGGAATCAAAAGTTTTCCAGGCCTTGCTTAGCTTTATTTACACCGACTCACTGCCCGAAATGGAGATGAACACAATAGAGGAAGGAAAAGCCCAAGAAACATTGTGGCTGCAACATTTGCTCGCAGCGGCGGATACATATGATCTCCAAAGGCTGAAAGCACTATGTGAAGAGAGGTTGTGTGAACATATAGACGTGAGCTCTATGACAACTATTCTTACTCAAGCCGAGCAGCTCAATTGTTGTGGAATGAAAGGGGTATGCTTTGAGTTCTCTCAAAACTACCACTGATTTGAAAGAGATAATAGCCGCAGACGGATTGGACGACATAACTATAACCTGCCCCTCTCTTCTAAAAGAGATCATTGCCAAGCTTGTTTCCTAATATCATCAAACACACACACGGTTAGTTGTTGATCCTATATATTTTTCAAAGATAGTATTCTACAATCTATGTTTATAGGTTGCAGTCTGGCTTTGCTGCCAGCATTTGATGTGCCTTCATGATGTGCTATAGAGACATTTTAGTTGGATGTGTTTTGTGCATCTTTCCTTGATTTCCATTTCCCTATTTAGAGATATCATCTTTTACACTGTCTTTTCTCAATAAGTTACGACATGAACCATCTTTCTTTTCTTTCCTCCAGGCACACTACCAAAATAACTGCATATGCCGAGGGCCTCATCTATGTCGACGGCTCCCGTCGGCATAGATAGACCTATCCTGACGGCCTAGGACATGACGTAGGCATAGAAAAGCCGTTGGCATACGTCTATCTATGCCGACGGGGCCGTCGGCATAGACGAGGCCGTCGGGACCGCTCGAGATACGCCTACGGGGCCTGTCGTCATAGCCCAGGCCCGCCTACCCGGTCAGCGCTGACCGTTTGACGGTGTTTAAACTACGCCGATGGGAGGTCACGCCCGCCATCGGCATATCTATGGCAGAGATATGCCTACGGCATAGCCGTCGGCATAGGCCTAGCCCATGCCCCTCTACCACGCCATCGATCTGTGCGCGACGCCAGGTCATCGATCCGTGTGCGACGCCACGTCATCGATCTGTGGGACTGCACCTCCGTGTGCGCAGCTATGCCGATGGCCTTGCCGTCGGCATATATTTATTTTATTTTTATTTTTTATTTTACTTTATATTATCTATGGCAGAGGTATGCCTACGGCATAGCCGTCGGCATGGGCCTGGCCCATGCCCCTCTGCCACAACATCGATCTGTGTGCGATGCCACGTCATCGATCTGTGGGACTGCACCTCCGTGTGCGCAGCTATGGCCGTCGACATATATTTATTTTAGTTTTATTTATTTTATTTTTACTTTATATTATTTTTTGTTTTTCCATAAGATAATTATGCCTTATCTAAAAAAACATACCCCGATGGTATATCGATTGCCCCCCGTTATGAACATCGTTGTCGCCGTGTCACGGGGGGACGGTCGACGCGGAGGGAATCTGGTTAGTGGGGGGATTCGGGGTGTAGCTATTTCACTGAAACATGGCACGGGTCCCGATGCATATGTGAAAGTGTTCAGGCATGCGTAGACGCCCGTCTTGGGGCTCCGCGGTGTGGCCCCCCTCCACGCAAGGCAGTGCGCCGTCACTTGGAGGGGGTCAAACCCCGGAGACACGTGCCTCCTCTTCATACATGCCACCACACCACCCCGCATGTATGAGGTCCCGGTGTGACGCTCTGGTGGCATTGCTACCCCCCAGGGCCCCCGTTCCGCCTAACCCTGTAGCGTTCGACCACGGGATCTAGCCCTTTGACTTTGTGCACGGACGGGCTTTGACTAGTGGACCTATCCACCTGGTTGTGTTAGTTCAGCCCATAGGAACACTTTGGAGCAACATTCGGGCCAGACCCACAGCAAGATCCCCTCCGTGTAGACCCGACGCGTCCGTTTCCCCCTCCAGGTGCCGGCGGCGGTGCCGGCGGCGGTGCCGGCGTGTCACCTCTTCAGACATGCCACCACACTGTACGGCATGTATGAGGTCCCGGTGGGACGCTCCGATGGCATTGCTACCCTGCAAGGCCCCCCTCGTCCCGCCTAACCCTGTAGCATTTGACAACGGGATATAGCCCTTTGACTTTGCACAGATGGGCTTTAACCAGTGGCACTCTCCACCCGGTTGTGTTAGGTCAGCCCATAGGAACACTTTGGAGCAACATCCGGGCCAAAGCCACACCAAGATCCCCTCTGTGTAGACCTGATATGTCTCCAACGTATCTATAATTTTTGATTGCTCCATGCTATTTTATCTACTGTTTTGGACATTATTGGGCTTTATTATCCACTTTTATATTATTTTTGGGACTAACCTATTAACCGGAGGCCCAGCCCAGAATTGCTGTTTTTGCCTATATTAGGGTTTTGAAGAAAAGGAATATCAAACAGAGTCCAAACGGAATGAAACCTTCGGGAACGTGATTTTCTCACCGAACATGATCCAGGAGACTTGGACCCTACATCAAGAAATAAAGGAGGAGGCCACGAGGTAGGGGCGCGCCTACACCCCCTAGGCGCGCCCTCCACCCTCGTGGGCCCCCTAATGCTCCACCGACGTACTCCTTCCTCCTATATATACCTACGTACCCCCAAACGATCAGATACGGAGCCAAAACCCTAATTCCACCGCCGTAACTTCCTGTATCCATGAGATCCCATCTTGGGGCCTGTTCCGGAGCTCCGCCGGAGGGGGCATCCATCACGGAGGGCTTCTACATCAACACCATAGCCTCTCCGATGAAGTGTGAGTAGTTTACCTCAGACCTTTGGGTCCATAGTTATTAGCTAGATGGCTTCTTCTCTCTTTTTGGATCTCAATACAATGTTCTCCCCCTCTCTTGTGGAGATCTATTCGATGTAATCTTCTTTTTGCGGTGTGTTTGTTGACACCGATGAATTGTGGGTTTATGATCAAGATTATCTATGAATAATATTTGGATCTTCTTTGAATTCTTTTATGTATGATTGGTTATCTTTGCAAGTCTCTTCGAATTATTAGTTTGGTTTGGCCTACTAGATTGATCTTTCTTGCAACGGGAGAAGTGCTTAGCTTTGGGTTCAATCTTGCGGTGTCCTTTCCCAGTGACAGTAGGGGCAGCAAGGCACGTATTGTATTGTTGCCATCGAGGATAACAAGATGGGTTTTTTATCATATTGCATGAATTTATCCCTCTACATCATGTCATCTTGCTTAAGGTGTTACTCTGTTTTCATGAACTTAATACTCTAGATGCATTCTGGATAGCGGTCGATGAGTGGAGTAATAGTAGTAGATGCAGGCAGGAGTCGGTCTACTTGTATCAGACGTGATGCCTATATACATGAACATACCTAGATATTCTCATAACTATGCTCAATTGTTTCAATTGCTCAACAGTAATTCGTTCACCCACCGTAAAATACGTATGCTCTTGAGAGAAGCCACTAGTGAAACCTATGGCCCCCGGGTCTATCTTCATCATATTAATCTTCCAATACTTATTTATTTCCTTTGCTTTTACTTTTCTTTTATTTTACTTTCCATCTTTATCATAAAATATACCAAAAATATTATCTTGTCATATCTATCAGATCTCACTCTCGTAAGTGACCGTTAAGGGATTGACAACCCCTTATCGCGTTGGTTGCGAGGAGTTATTTGCTTGGTGTAGGTACGAGGGACTCGCGCGTAGCCTCCTACTGGATTGATACCTTGGTTCTCAAAAACTAAGGGAAATACTTACGCTACTTTGCTGCATCATCCTTTCCTCTTCAAGGAAATCCAATGCAGTGCTCAAGAGGTAGCAAGAAGATTTCTGGCGCCGTTGCAGGGGAGTCTACGCAAAAGTCAAACATACCAAGTACCCATCACAACCCTTATCTCCCGCATTACATTATTTGCCATTTGCCTCTCGTTTTCCTCTCCCCCACTTCACCCTTGTTGTTTTATTTGCCCTCTCTCTCTCTCTATCCTCCCTCTCTTTCTCTATTTGCCTCTTTTCGCCCTTTGCACCTTCTGCCGTTATGTCTGAAATTGGGGAAATTATTGTCGATTTGGACAATAATAATATCATGAAAAATTCTGATGCTCCTACTAAAGAACCCCCCATCTTACATACAAAAAAATTCCGTGTTGGTAGTGGTAATATTATTGGAAAAGGAGTTATTCAATATTTCTTTACTTGTGCCGGTGCTTTACCTTCTATGGGTAGCTCTATCCTTCATAAAACTAGTAGTCTTGCGGACGCTATTGCCATGCTTGTAGTTGAACTTGAAAGACAATTCATGCACATGCATCCTTGCATACAAAGGATTTTCCTAGAATTTTCTAATATTGAGCATTCTTCTGTTAAGCATGCCGCTACTATCTTTTTGGCTCATGAGTTTAGATTCATAATAAAAGAGGCCAAATAAATGTTTGCGCATTATAGGGTGGACGCTTGCCGTCCTCCCATAGAGGCTATCCTTTTTGATCAAGAAGAAATAATGCGTTTTCAATGTCTAGACTATGTTGCTTTCAATGAAAATCTTAGAAAAAGGGTTCCTACCAATGCTTTAGTTGATAGAATTTCTGAACTTAATGATGATTTGGCCATTCAAAATAATGAACTAGGATATTCTCTTGAATATAGGCTCACAAAGTTCTGTCAAAAGAATGCTTATAATGATGAATTGGTTGTGCAATACGAAGGACCAAAGGAGGAACCTATACCTCCCAAGGTTGATCTTGGGGACTTTTGTACCATTAAATTTAGCCCTTTTGATTACTTTTGCTTGCCTCAAAGAAAACTTGCTGCCGAATGTAGAGAATATGAAATAATTTTTAATGATCTATCTTACTATTATGGCAATACCTAGATCTGCCCTTGCTTTTTATGCCTAGCTAGGGGCATTAAACGATAGCGCTTGTTGGGAGGCAACCCAATTTTATTTTTATTCCTTGATTTTTGCTCCTGTTTAGTAATAAATAATTTACCTAGACTCTGTATTGGTTGTGTTTTTGTGTTTAATTAGTGTTTGTGCCAAGTAGAACCGTTGGGAAGACTTGAGGAAAGTCTTGTTAATCTCGCTGTAAAAAACAGAAACTTTAGTGCTCACGAGAACTGCTGCCATTTTTATTTGGAAAGTGATATTTAGTTAATTCTTTTTTCAGAAGATTAATAGATAAATTCCTCACGTTCAGAAATTTATTTTAGAATTTTTGGGGTTCCAGATCTTGCTCTAGCTACATATTACTACAGGCTATTCTGTTTTTGGCAGATTCTGTTTTCCGTGTGTTGTTTGCTT